TGGGGAAAGGAACTGCTGTGCAAGGTCAGAGCCTGATGAGTACCTGGTCAGGGTGGTGCCAGAGCTGGTGGGGGCAGAGGGCATACTGGAAATCAAGCAGGACTGGACTGAATGCCAATAGCAGCCAGCACTAACTCTATGACCTTACTGCAATGTTCTCAAACCATTGTTGTTAGGTGCTGGCGAGTCAATTCCCACTCACGGTGACCCTGTGTTTCAGGGGAGAACTGCTCCACTGGGTTTCAAGGTTGTGACCCCCTAGAAGCAGATCACCGGGATAGCTATCTGAGGCATCCCCGGGTGGTTTTGAATGGCCAACCTTGTGGCTAGTGGTAGAGTGCCTAACCATTTATACCACCCTAGCTGCCCATGGTTCTCAAATTTGTCTGAGAGTTAGATTATCACCGATAATAATTCCAGCCTTTTCCCCAAAGTAGAAGAAATACACTAAATTCCTGAGTATTCTTTTCCTTTCAAATTTTCTCTAATTTGGGGACTGTCAGTTCTCCCTTTTCCACACTAGTGTCTAGGTCAAGGACAGAATCTGATTCACCATGAAGTTAGATGAATTGTCTTATATTTAATTGATCAACATCACAAAGTGTTCACACCACAAGCAACTTCATAACACCCAGGTGTGTCCAACGTCTACTCCAACAGCACATGGATGATCTGAGCCTCCCGTCCAAAGTGTCCATTTGCCTGGGCCCCGCAAACTCATGGGTCACAGGCTGCTGACCTGCAGGCGTTCAAGTCCCGTCTCCAGACCTGAGCTTCTTTCAGACCTTCTTTGAGCTGTACCTGAACCTGCCTGGGCAGGTGGGGTTCTGGAGGCACGTTTGAGTGCAGGCTCAAGGCCACATGAGCCAGCTGGGACAGGGCCTTGGAGGCCTGGCCTGGGCTTGGGAAGCAGCACCTGCCCCCCCACAGCAGAGGTGCACAGAGCCGAGAAGCAGTCCTGGGTGTGCAACGCAACACCATTGCTGTGAGGGACTGAAGGGAGGCTGAAGCAGAAACCCATCATCCTGCTGAGGAAACAAAGCCAAGGTAGAGCCAGGCCCTGGAAAAAGTCACTGCGAACAAAGTGCTACCTGGAAGTGCCAGGCTGTCAGGCAGTGTTGGGGGCCAAGGGGCAGGCACACAGGGCAGGGGGCAGGCCCAGCACGTCCTGGGTGAGGCTCACCCGCTGTCATCCTATTCCCTCCCAGATCCTGTGAGTGACAGCGGCGAATGAACAGGGCTGGTCAACAAGGTGGACATGGGCATCCTCACTGAAGGCCAGCAGGACGCAGGGCGAGAGGAGATGGAACTGGGGGACCTGGGGAAGGACAAGAAGAGAGACTCAGAGGCAGAAGGAAGGACTGGGCTAAGTGTGGGGTGGGTGGAGGGGTACAGGAGCAGGACCGCTGGGGAAAGGGACCGGGGTGAGGCAGGGTGGCACTGGCCCTCGGTGGCTGAGTGGAATGCAAGCTTGGTATCAGAGACCTGGATTTGCAACCTGGCCCTGTGACTTCAGAGAAGGTTTTGTATCATTTCAACTTTCTGGAAACCTTGTAAACTATACCACAGAACCAAAGCTATCTCAGTGATACGGTGATTAAGGAGCGTCTGTTATTTACTGAAGCTGCTGGAAAGGAAAACGCCCCCTGCTGCCTCAACAGGTGCGCAGCCTAGGGAGGTGGTAAGAGCCTGTCTCTGCTCCCTGAGCACCTCGGAGGGCAGCAGGAATGGGAGGGCTCAGCCTTCATGGACCTCGGGCACTCAGATCTGGCCGCTCTGGACCAACTGGCGTTGGGCCCCAGCGGTGCTCACCATATCACTCCTGCTCCGGGTCCGGCAGCCGTTCAAGGAGCATGTCCTCCATGCCGTTGCACTGCACAGAGAGAAGGGGGGTGAGGTAGCAGAGCCCTGGCAGGCGGGAACCTGGGAGGCCCTCCTCCCACTGCCCACCCAAAAGGCCTTCCGGCAGCCTGCAGGCCTCTGCAGAGAGCCCAGGCTCGGGCTGGGGCTGGCCCGGCCACTTGGTTCCAACTTCAACCCAGTTGTTTGAAAATCCTCTTGTTGTAAATTCTGTTTTTTTGTTTTGTTTTTAGCTTTTGGTGCTGGCGTAGAGGGAAGAGATCCATCCCAGAGGGCAGACATGGAGGACAAGGAGAGGGAAAGCAGGGCCACCCAAGATTACCCATCTGTCCCCAGGAGACGTGCACTTGCCTGAACATGGTACACTATGAGCCAGAAATTGGAGTCTGAGTCCCGGTACCTTCCTCCGGGGTAGAGCTGCCACATCAACGGCAGATGATACGGATGGGTCTGGCTGGGGCACACTGCCTCCCCCAGGGGAACGTTTGCTTGGCGCATGAGGACTTGGAAGCTGTCGTCCCTCTGGGTTGAGGAGAGAAGGACAGTGCACAGCTCAGGGCCCAGGCTCACCAGGGGTCCTCCACACCAAGCAGGCAGAGGCTTTCCTGGTACCCAGCAACCCGGCGGGCGCTCAGTGTGATGCTGGTGCCCAGCAACCCAGCGGGCGCTCAGTGTGATGCTGGTGTTCCCCGTCCCTGGCAGTGAAGCCCCTGCAGCAGCCTCCCGGCAGGGACTCTGCCCAGCAAGCCCAGCACACGCCCGTGGCCAGTGGCCCAGACGGAGCCAGGAAAGGAAGACTCACCTTCTTCTGACCTGCAAGGGTACTAGAGGACGAACTGTGCCCCCTCCAAAATAGGTGTCAGGAGCTCTGGTGGGGTAGTGCCTAAGGGGTTTGACTGCCAACCAGAGGGCTGGTGGTTCAAACCCACCAGCTACTCCTCAGAAGGAAGGTGGGGCAACGTACTTCTGTAGAGATACCACCTCGGAAACCCAAGGAGGGGTCGCTATGAGTCAGGTCCGACTCGATGGCACATAACAACAATACCACTATCAACAACAGCCTCCTAAACAAGGAACCCTGGTGATGCAACACCTAAGCACTCAGCTGCTAACTGAAAGGCTCGAGGTTCAAACCCACTCAGAGGCTCTGAGGCAGGAGAGACCTGGCCATCTGCTCCCTTAAAGATCACAGCCCAGGAAACCCTGCGTGGCAGTTCTCCTCTGTCGCGTGGGATTGCTGTGAGTATGAATCGGCCCAATGGCCTCCAACAACAATACTCCCCTAAACTGTGAGAAAATAAATATCTGTTCCTTAAAACCACCCACTGTGGTGTTCCTGTTAGAGAAGCACCAGGAGCGTAAACCCCAGGGCCTATGGCGGAGCCCTCAAGCTGCCTATTTCAACCTTCTTGGGTTGTTCTTTATCTTGTCTTATTTGCTCTTTGAAACAAGATATCCCTGGGACCTAGTGGCAGGCCACTTTTTACCACCTCTAACCACCCCCACCACCATCTCTCACCTGAACTATTGCAGTAAGTCTGTAAATCACTGCCTTGGGCCCCACAGTCAGTTCTCTGCCCCACCGCCAGGGGGAGCATCTGCAAATCACACCACTTCCACTTGACACCCTCCAGCAGCTCCAGTCACAGGCAGCGTGAATGAAATCTTAACCAGGTCCCCAAAGCCCACACAGCTGGGCTCTTGCCTCCCTCCTCTGCTGCTGTGTGTCACCCTCCAGCCCGTTCCGGCTCCACAGCTCCCCCCTCCCCCATTTCTAGAACATGCTGCACTCATGCCGTGCACTGGCTATCTTCTCTGCCTGGACCATTTGCCCCTTGATCGACACAGGCAACACCTTTCAGGCAGGTCTCTGCTCAAATGTATAGCAGTCCCTGGGTGGGGCAAACGGTTTGTGCTTGAATACTAAGCTAAAGGTTGGTGGTTCAAATCCACCCCAAGACACCACACAAGAAAGGCCTGGGGATATGTTTCCATGAAGACGAAAGCCCTACGGGCAGTTGTATTCTGTAACACACAGAGTCTCCATCAGTCAGCCTTGATGGCCACAGGTTTGCTTTCTGTTCAAATGTATGTCTATAGAGACAAATATAACATAAAAATGGGATACAACAGACACCAAACATACCGGTTCTATCAATAACTGATAATGGGTTACATTTGCCAATTGAAAGAAAGAAACTCAGCCAAACCCAACGCCACAATATATACATAAGAAACATGCCTAAAACATGGAGATTCAGAAAGTTTATGAATAGAATGGTGGGCAAAAGAAAATTAAGACCCTCAGAGAGGTCTTGCCTGAACTCCCACATCACTCACTGTCCCCTTGCACCCCACTTTAATTCTCCTACTAAACTTACCACCAGCTTAAGAGTTCATTTTTGTCCATCTCCTAGGCAAAACAGGGGCTTTACAAACAGTGGGGTTTTATCACACATAATGCCTAGAGCCTAGACCCCTGCCTGGTGTGCACACTCAGTTCTCACATTCATTCAGAGAACATTTTTCCAAAGTGGAAATAAGCTTTCTTTTATTTTCTGTCTACAAAAGAAATCAGGCTCACTGTTAACCAATGATTCAGATCACACTGCAAGGTCCAAGTGTGGGCATCACTGTTCTTGGAGTGTTGTTGCGTATCTTCCCCATCCTTTAACCGTTTTTAGTGTGTGCCATTCAGCTTTTTCTTCTTAAGTAAACCTTTACATATGAAGAGTTCTAACTCTTCTGGTCGTGGAAGGTCAGTCTCATGGCACTCCCCTCCAGTTTCCTAATGAGTTCTTCACTATACACAAGTTATACTGATTAAGAGGAAAACTCTGGCCAGTCTTAGTTTCGGTGTTATGTTCAAGAAAATAACCAAACCAGAGATTAAAGAATTCACCTAAATTGTCTTCAAATATTTGACTTAAAAAGTAACTTTTTTAAAAGAAGTGTATATGCACACCTTCAAAAATTAAAATGTCAATGAAGACAGGTTTAGAAGGTGGTTGTTGTTGTTATGTGCCATCGAGTCAGACCCGACTCATAGTGACCCTTCCTTGCGTTGCCGAGGCAGTATCACTACAGAAGTAGATTGTCAAACCTTCCTTCCAAGGAGTGGCTGGTGGGTTTGAACCACCAGCTTTCTGGTTAGCAGTCAAGTGCTTTAGGCACTATGCTACCAGAGCTCCTAGAAGGTGGTTAAGAACCTACAGTCCCAATCTGGGATCACCTATTAGCGACACTACCTTGGACAGGTTTACCTGTTCATGCCTCAGTTTCATCATCTGTAAAGTGAGGACACAGCCAACACCCAGTAACTTTTTGCTGGTTGCTAATATATCACATGAATGCTCTAACACATATTTGAATGTGCGTTTATACTTTCTTCAGTTTTTGTATGGAGACTTTCAACATTTTCTACCTTGCATCGGGGAAACCAGGCTCTGGTGGAAGGTACTTGCAAAAGAGTTCTATTTCTTTAGGAAAATGTTAGTATTAACCGAGGCTCATCTTAAAGCGTCAGAGACAAAGCTAGTCTTTTAAATATTACAGTATGTGTTAAGTTTGTTTCTCCAAAGCATAGAACTAAAATAAAAAACCCACTGCCATGGAGTCCACTCCAACTCATAGCGACCCCATAAGGTTTCCAAGGCTGTAAATCTTTACGGAAGCAGACTGCCGCATCTTTCTCCCGCGGAGCCACTGGCGGGTTCCAACCGCTGACGTTTTGGTTTGCAGCCAAAGGCTTTAACCAGTACACCACCGGAGCTCCTTCAAAAGCACAGAGGACGTATATAATGCCCCATCTTCTAGCTGTAGTTCCCAAACTTGGTGGATGATAACCTACCGAGAGTCTTTTGTAAAATTCAGATGTCTGGGGAGTCTCATAAACGGCCAGATGTGTAACTCATTACTTTAGAGAGAGATTTTACAGATTAGGGAGGGCAAGCCTGGAACAGCCCTGTCTTAAACAAGATCATATTCACACCTGCCAGGGCCACTGGGGCCCCATCCGTCGACCTCCATGCCTTTGAGTCATCACCACTCTCCTTCCTGGCCTGCAGAACTCCTACTCATCCTTCAGAACCCTGCTCAAAATGGTTTCATCCATGAGGCCCAAGCTGCCCTGGGCTGATGAGGCCCCTTCCAAGCCTTGCTTCCACCACCCTCGCCCTACGACCGGGGCTGCTCAAAGGCCCTGCACGGCCGAGCTGGGAGGGTAACGCCATGCAGTCCCGCCTGCCTAGGCCTAAAGCGGCCTGTGTACCTCGAAGCCTATGGGCAGCCAGGTGCGGTGGTTCTCGTCCACATACACATCCTTTTCCCAGATCCACAGGTGGTCTGGATGCGAGGCTGACTGCGCCCTGAAGAACGGAAGCTCGCCCATGGAGCCTGGGGCAGTCCAGAAAGACAAAGCGGTGCCTGTGGAGGCCACGCGCTGATCGCAGGGTGCAGGGCCTAGACGTGTTTATAATGGATCGAGCATGGATGCCCCGGGCGGCAGGGTGGGGTGGGAGTGGGCGAGGCGAGGGGCGGGGCTAAGACTGGGTGGGGAGGAGGGCGGGGCTAAAAGTGGGGTGGGGAGGAGGGCGGGCTCTAGGCGAGACTTGTGGGGCGGAAGGGGCGGAAGGCAGGGCAGGATGGGCTAAAAGGCCATCGCAGGAAGCGTGAGCAAGAGGCAGAGGAGAGGTAGGGCGAGGAATGGGCGGGGCATCCCTGAAGCACAGAACCAATCTGCTGTGTCTGGAACCCAGGAGTCCCTCGAGGTCCCAGCCAGACATTCTTACCCTGCCTCCATGGCCCACGGGCAGGTTACTTGCTCTGTGACCCTGGCCTCAGTCAGGGCCGTCCCTGGCCCTTTCTTCTGTCGGGAGGGGCCACCTCGGTGCCTCGACCCCGCTGTCCAGAACCACTGCGTGCGGCTGGTCAAGCCAAACCCAGACTGGGGGCTCCAGGCCTCTGCTGAACTCCCAGGCTGCCCTTGACCCCAGGCACCCGGAGCCAGCCCCTTCCACGTCTTCCGGGGCCTGAGAGCCCATGCGAGCCGGACCCAGGCTGGGTTTCCTAGGCCCACTGCATCACCTGCAGCCTGGGACTTTGAGTGTCAGAATCAATGCCCTTGGCAACGTTGCAACTCTTGACGCGCCCCCTCCCCGCAGCCCCGCACTTTGCACGGCTGTGCTGAGGCCGGGACCATCTAAAAGCTGTTGTGAAACACGGTGGTGAAGCAACAGAGGCCATTCCCTTTACAAGCTCGGAATTCATCAGAGACACCATAGTTCAAAATGACTGTTTGGAAAGAAACCGCTCCCTCTGCCCCAAGACCATGGCTTTGAAAAGGCTCTGAGTTTTGTGATCAAACTCTGTGGAAATTACAGCAAATAAGACAATTTCACTTTGTTCTGGAATAACAGCTGCCCATTAAGGCAATTACGAAAGTAAAGTACAATGGAAAATAGAAAACTCATCCTGGCCTCTTCTCTGAAGCAGCACCAGTTGGGTGCCTTGATTTCCGGTTCTCTCCCCTCTCTCTGACAAAACAAAACATTTGCCAACAAGTCAATTGTGAGTCCACGTGTTCAGAGTCGAATTGCCTTCCTTAGGGTTTTTAAGGCTGTGACCTTTCGGAAGCAGGTCACCAGTGCCACCTCTGGGTGGCTCTGAGCCACCAAGCTTTCGGTTTGTAGTGATTTGCAGCACCCAGGGATACTCATTCTGACTAGGCACTAAGGAAATAATTGTGATCTTTGGAAATGTCAGAAAGGTGACAATGAGCTTGATGTCTGGTCACCTGACAGCAAAGGTGAGCCTTTGCTTCTCTATCTGATGGCCTCATTCCCAAGAAGGAGCTGAGGTGACTGGAGGGAATAGCGACAAAATTGGATTTACCAGGAACCCAACAGAAGACAAAAAGGCGAGTGAACTTGGAGGTGGAGGAGGAAGGGTAAGCCAGCAAACCTCTGCCCAGCCACCCCCAAGTGGTGTTGGTGTTTCATCTTCACACTAGTGGCTTCCAGGCTGGCCTCCCTGTGGACGGTCCTTGAGAGCCACTGGGAGGGAATGAGAAGGAAATGGTGGTGACAGGCTCTACTGGGGAAGTTGCAGAGCTTCAAAGTCAGAGAGGAGAGCAATTCCAGCTTAAACAGTGCCTTTGGGGGGGCCTCTTGGGTCAAGAAAGGTGCACCCGGGAGCCCGTGTGCCACTGACCGACCGGGCCACCGCATGCACCCCAGGCCCTGTTGGGTCTCCGGATTAATTAGCATTTGTTGTACTTTTCGAGAATCAAATATCTTTGGCTGGATGAGCTTCTGAATGTTCTGGAAATGAGATTCCTTTTTTTTTCCCCCCTCCCTTGGAAAGGACATGTTTCTTCCGTTCACACTAGGCCTTCTGAATATTGAGCAGAGTAAGTTATTCCTGTCCAAGATTTAGAAAATTAGTTGAGAAGAGGTTCTGAAAAGTGAGTTAATGGTAACTGAGGAGTTCAGTGGCTTCTTTGGGGTCCTTGAGCCTTTGTCATTGAAAATTCCACAGGAGGGGAAACAATAGCTATTGTGTGGTGTCGGGGACTATGGGGGAGGGAGGAGCTCCCCAGCATGGTGTCGGTGCCATCTTAGGCCTTTCAGTCTGTTCCTTTGTACCTTTGTCCTTTAATAGAGAGGCCCCCTGAGAATAAGTGGATGTGTCACAAAGTAACAGGAAACAGTTATTTTCTGACAGAATCCTTAACTGACGCTCTCATGTCCTGGCTAGGACTCAGTGTGGACTTTGCCAAAACCGCCTGTGAACCTGGCAAAGTCTCTGCCAGCCAGACCTCAGGGCCCCACTTTTGGAATGAATGGACCCAGCTAGGTGAGCTCTAAAGCAGTGCTTCAAGTTGGGTCATTCTGGTTTGACCCCTGCTGAGAACTTGCCTTTCCACCAGATAGATGAGTCAGAGTCTACATTTTAACAGGATCCCCATAAGAACCACCAAGGGATCTGTAAGAGTCCCCTGGGGATCTTGTTAAAATGTAGATTCTGATTCAGTATATTTGTGGTGAAAGGCAAGTTCTTAGTAGGGGGTCAAGCTGAAATGAACCGGTTCAAAGCCCTGCTCTAAATCCATTTTCAACTCAATTGTGATCAAGTTGCTCTTTAGGATGAAAGAATGGTTAAGAGAAAAGCTGGACAAGCTCATGACATTAGTTCAGGAAAGTTTTGAGCAGAACGGACATGAAAGGCCTCAATGGAGTTCACTCTTCGAGAGTGAAGAAGCCATCCTTGTAGTTTGGGTTCCAAATGAAGGAGGCTGAGGGTGAGCCGTGGCCATGAGTAAATGACTCTTACGTGTGGTGTCTGGACCAGGAACATCAGCACCACTTGGGGCTTATGAGAACTGCAGAGTCTTAAGCCCTCTGCCAACCTGCTGAGTGAGAATCTGCATTTTCACAGGGTCTCTGGGTGACCCGTGTACACAGTCAGCTCTGGTCGAGGGGGAGGCTTAGGAGGCATCGATGGCAGGTGTCTGCATTCTACCAGTCTCTCCAGATTTCTCTATGACACGGGAATCGGGTGTGTGTTTCTGGATCATTTAGTTCGAGGTTATCTTTTGTTCTGTTAAAATCACTTCTAATATATAGTGTTAAGGAGCTCTTGTGGCATTTGGCTGCTAACCAGGAGGTCAGCGGTTCAAAACCAATCATCTACTCCATGGGAGGAAGATGAGGCAATCTATTTCCATAAAGATTTATAGCCTCGGTCGCCATGAGTTGGAATTGACTTGATGGCAGTGAGTGGATATATAGTGTTTTCCACTTAAGAGTAAATCCTGGCAATTAAGTTTATCCTAGCCAACTTCAGTGATGGTAGCGAGCTGGAAGACTTCTATGCAGAGGCTACTCAGGTGTCCCTGCCTCTGGGCACACTGATTGGCCCTAAACCACTAAGCTAGTGGATTGCAATCCTAGCCGCCTGTTAGAATCACCTGACAAGCTTTGACTGGGACTTGCTGATAAAACACCTGTGCCTGGACCCCACCTCAGACCAATTACATCACAGTCTTTGGGCAGGGGAGCTAGGGCTTAGCCGGGGTTGCAAGCTGATGCTATAGGACGTAAGTTACTTTTAGACATGTGAATGGGGGTTATAAAACAAAATAACCATGAAAATGTTAAAGCTATTCTGGTTCTGGTAAACCTCGCCCTGACCCCACCCTCCACATCTCTCCCTTTGCTCTGCTTTGAATCTGTTGTTTCCAGTCTTCTGTGGGCTGGGACCACAGCAGCAAGTTTGAGAGGATTCTAAGGGTGTGGGATCTCGCCAACAGGGAACGCTGAGATGCAGACGGTAAGGTATCCGGACTAGTCGCTGGGGTGTTTTTTTTTTTTTTCCTGGTTCCTGAATCTGGGCTGTGGTTTGGATCATTGACACTGGTGATCACGTGAGCTCAGTTTACCAAAGTGGTTATGGTCTCTCCTCCTAAGAGGTGAAGTTGTGTTTGGAAATGAATGGGGAGTCTGGGACGTCAGGGATGCTCCCTGCAGAGCTTGGGCTGATCACAACCTTGCCCACTGCATGGGCACCGTCTCTCTTTAAACTGAATGGTTTTCAGCGCTTCCCAAACTTTACAGAGTGTATACGGGGATCTTGTTAAAGTGCAGAGTCTGAGTCAGTAGGCTCACGAGTCCACCTTTCTAACAAGCTCCCAGGGGAGGGGAGGCTGCTGGTCCACAGAGCACTTCTGAGGAGCAAGGAACTATACCATCCTCCACCCGCCTCCCAGTATACACACAAATGTAAAGCAAAACCCAACCACAGCCCCTCCTCAAAACCAAGTGGTGCAGCAGCAGGTGGTAGAATTGTAGCCGCCGCTCAACTTCCCATGCTCCTCTCCTTTTACCCAACGGCCAGCCAACGTTTTCCTACGTTTGCATGGAAACATTTCTCAGTCCTGGGATTATTCCACACTTTGGGTTACCCACACTGTGCTGACCCTCACCCCCAACCTAAGTTGATTGCATTCATTGTCTCTCGCTGCTATTTATGTTTCCAGTGGCTAGTTTTTTCCAAAGTGGATGGCCCCATCCTTCCTCCCAGTCTGTCTTCCTCTGGAAGCTCCACTAAAACCTGTCCACCATGGGTGACCCTGCTGGTGTTTGAAATACCAGTGGCAAAGCCTCCAGCCTCACAGCAACACACAAAACCACCACAGTATGACAACCTGACAGACGAGTGGTGAAGAGGAAGGAGGCGTCAGGATTGGGGAGGTGCCTTTAACAACCTGCGATATGCAGATGACACCACCTTGCTTGCCGAAAGGGAAGAGGACTTGAAGCACTTACTGATGAAGATCAAACATGTGCGAGCTGGGCAATGAGTAAGGAAGTCCAAAGAAGAATTGACGCA